TTTAAATAAATCGTATTTTATAGTATTTCTATAAACTCTGAAGTATATTAAATATATGACTTTATATATAACTCTTATATATGAAGTTATAATAAATTAGTATACATTATATAATGTTATTTATAAGTTATTATATTTAATATTATTACATTCAATTCTGATCCGCATGTTAACATCTAGAGTTGCCAGAATCTAAGCCGAAATCACTCTAACTCCTCCTTTCCAGTTGTCCACCGCATATGATCAACTTTAGTGTATTAACAGAATTCCTCTGTATGAGTCCCCAGAAGTCACTTGGATATGTGTATTTATTCATCAATTATATGTGAATCAAAACTATGCCATATTGCAAAAATTTTATATACTCCCTTGAAACATTTTTGACAATTAGTCATAACTTCAGATAACACATTAGTTTTGAAAGAACTAAAAAAATGTAAAATGTGTTATGCAGTCACGTATAACTGCAACTATTAAATAGTAGTTCATTCATAAGAATATAAAATGATGGCTACAGGTAGATATTTTGAAAATCTCCTTCTTCGACTCAGTATTATTGCAACTTTCACATAAATGGTCTGTTTATAAATGAGTTTTATACAATTTTGTGTGATACTTAATTATTAATTGTTTTGTCTTCCTCAATGAAGCATAAGCCCTTGTAAGTCAGTTTGCATGTTTCAGTTTTCACCAGAATTTAGGATATATTTATTAAATACATTTATGTTTAACATATATTTAATGTGCATGTTCTGTGTCCTAGTTACGTTGGCACATATTGGTTATATAACAGATTAAAGTAAAATGCCAACATGACTCTATGTTTTTAAGGTTTTTAATATATTTGTAAAAAATGTATTTGTGAAATGCTTAGTTTATTATAGACAAGTAACTAAAATCTACCAGAATAAAACACAACATAATTGATTAATATAGCAAAATGTTCAAAGTTATTTTATAGGTAAGAGAAAGTAATTTCATTTATTAAAATGAAAGGGATTGGGACATGACCCTTTTATACTGATTTGATATTTAAAGTAAAGAACAATGTCAATGAGGTTAGTAGAAATGAGTCTTAGCTTTGATTTTTATCACTACTGAG